AAAGAACTGTTTATACACCTGTTGTGCAGCTCCATTTGAATGTAGAGTAACAAATTAAAGGAAGGATGTGTAGGAGCCAGGGTGGGCAAGGGTTAAAGAGAACAATAAAAACTGTGAAGTCAAATTCTTCAGAAAATATATGAGGACCATTTGCAGGGGGAATCAGGTTACAAAGAAAGAGTTCCTGCTAACTACATTAACATGAAAAACTCCAGATTTCAAGCTTTCTGCTTGTCTGAGACCATTTTCAGCAGTTTACATTTTTGCTATGTGTGCCAGTTAAATTTTATTGGAAGCCAATAATGTGAGTTCCCGTAAGAAAATACCTTGTGCTAGTCCATAGATGCAAAAATATTTGCTAGCATTCATATTCCAAAATAAGTAGGTCACCGTTCCCGATTTCCTTAAGGAAAAAGTGGAGTCCTGAAGAGCTGCTCTTTAGGTAGCCACCCTCTGTGTGCCGCCCGTTCTTGGGAAGAAGGTGACACAATACTTAATATTAGTTGAGTTGCAGAAAGTAAGAAAAATGGTGCTAATGAAATAAGAGGAGATGAGAATTCAGCCAATGTGTTATCGCTGAAGTGAAAATTCAGCCTGTTGCTGCTCAGAATGAGTCTCACATGCATAATACAGAGTAAATATTCATATATTTTCAAGTTTTAATGGCTAGTTCCTTTGCCTATTGTGATAATTCAGTATATTAGATAAGAACAGAATTAGCACATCTTACCAAAATCATGAGAAGTTTAAATGAAGGCTTTTAAACACAAAAATTTTAGATTTTGCTTTATCGCAGAAGGATCTCTAGAGTCAGTCAACGTTTTTCTATGATCTTTTGCCTTTAAAATAGGCCTGTGGGGCAGGAGAGATGTCTCAGCAGCTTAGCACTCTTGCTGCTTTTACAGAGGCCCCACATCAGGTAGCCCAGATGCCTATAACTTCAGCTCAATGGTATTCAACACCTTTGGCCTCCTAGGGTACCGTGGTCATGTGCACATGCATACACACACACACACACACACACACACACTATTAAAACTAATGAAATCTAACACTGGCTGTCAGGCACACACCTTTAATCCCAGCCCTCTGGAGACAGGCAGGTGGATCTCTGTGAGATCTAGGCCATCCTGGTTCACATAGTGACATCCAGGCAAACAAGGACTAAGTTGACTGTCAAAAAAAAAAAAGTAAAATAAAAATTTGGTTTTTTTTGGTCATGTTGAGACGGCGTCTCTCTGTAGCCCCAGCTGTCCTGGAACTCACTTTGTAGACCAGGCTGGCCTTGAACTCACAGAGACATGCCTGCCTCTGCTGGGATTAAAGATGTGCGCCACCACACCCGGCCTTATTTTTTTTTTTATTTTTTTATGTGTATGAGTATATTGTCTGCACGTATGTGAGTGCACCCGTGTCATGTAATGCCATGGAAGTCAGAAGAGGGCTTCGGATTTCCCTGGAACTGGAGTTAAGGACGGTTCGCCGCCTTGTGGGTGCTGGGAATCGAGTCCGGGTCCTCTGCAAGAGCAGTCAGTGTTCTTAACCGCTGAGCCATCTCTCCAGCCCTAAAATAAAATTTCTTAAAAAATTAAAATATTCCTACACTTCCAAAGAATTAGCAGCTGTATATTGTGTTTATCCCACATCTTTTTTATAAAATAGGATTTGTGTGTGTATGCATGCGTGCGTGCGTGCGTGCGTGCGTGCGTGTGTGTGTGTGTGTGTGTGTGTGTGTGTGTGTATACCTGTATGCATCTGTACGGAGGCCAGAAAGTGACATGGAGTGTCTTGCTTCATCACTCTCCACCTTGTATGTTGAAGCATGGTATGGTGCAGGGTCTTTTCTTAACCCAGAGCTTGCCAATTCAGCTCCCCTGGGGTTCCTCTGCCATGCCCACCCTGTATTTGTGTGGGTACTGGGAATCTGAACTCTGCCCTCAGGCTTCTACAGCAAGAACTTTTACCTGCTGAGCCATCTCCCTAGCTCCTAAAGTAAGATTCTGAGGTGGTCTTCCTCTTAAGTCATTCAGAAGTCAGTAGGAAAAAGGCACTAGTAAGTGTTAAGGATAAACATAACCAGAATACCTTTATAACAGGGATAATTCAGTATATTAGATAAGAACAGAATTAGCACATCTTACCAAAATCATGAGAAGTTTAAATGAAGGCTTTTAAACACAAAAATTTTAGATTTTGCTTTATCGCAGAAGGATCTCTAGAGTCAGTCAACGTTTTTCTATGATCTTTTGCCTTTAAAATAGGCCTGTGGGGCAGGAGAGATGTCTCAGCAGCTTAGCACTCTTGCTGCTTTTACAGAGGCCCCACATCAGGTAGCCCAGATGCCTATAACTTCAGCTCAATGGTATTCAACACCTTTGGCCTCCTAGGGTACCGTGGTCATGTGCACATGCATACACACACACACACACACACACACACACTATTAAAACTAATGAAATCTAACACTGGCTGTCAGGCACACACCTTTAATCCCAGCCCTCTGGAGACAGGCAGGTGGATCTCTGTGAGATCTAGGCCATCCTGGTTCACATAGTGACATCCAGGCAAACAAGGACTAAGTTGACTGTCAAAAAAAAAAAAGTAAAATAAAAATTTGGTTTTTTTTGGTCATGTTGAGACGGCGTCTCTCTGTAGCCCCAGCTGTCCTGGAACTCACTTTGTAGACCAGGCTGGCCTTGAACTCACAGAGACATGCCTGCCTCTGCTGGGATTAAAGATGTGCGCCACCACACCCGGCCTTATTTTTTTTTTATTTTTTTATGTGTATGAGTATATTGTCTGCACGTATGTGAGTGCACCCGTGTCATGTAATGCCATGGAAGTCAGAAGAGGGCTTCGGATTTCCCTGGAACTGGAGTTAAGGACGGTTCGCCGCCTTGTGGGTGCTGGGAATCGAGTCCGGGTCCTCTGCAAGAGCAGTCAGTGTTCTTAACCGCTGAGCCATCTCTCCAGCCCTAAAATAAAATTTCTTAAAAAATTAAAATATTCCTACACTTCCAAAGAATTAGCAGCTGTATATTGTGTTTATCCCACATCTTTTTTATAAAATAGGATTTGTGTGTGTATGCATGCGTGCGTGCGTGCGTGCGTGCGTGCGTGTGTGTGTGTGTGTGTGTGTGTGTGTGTGTGTATACCTGTATGCATCTGTACGGAGGCCAGAAAGTGACATGGAGTGTCTTGCTTCATCACTCTCCACCTTGTATGTTGAAGCATGGTATGGTGCAGGGTCTTTTCTTAACCCAGAGCTTGCCAATTCAGCTCCCCTGGGGTTCCTCTGCCATGCCCACCCTGTATTTGTGTGGGTACTGGGAATCTGAACTCTGCCCTCAGGCTTCTACAGCAAGAACTTTTACCTGCTGAGCCATCTCCCTAGCTCCTAAAGTAAGATTCTGAGGTGGTCTTCCTCTTAAGTCATTCAGAAGTCAGTAGGAAAAAGGCACTAGTAAGTGTTAAGGATAAACATAACCAGAATACCTTTATAACAGGACCACATGACAGTTGGCAGTGTCTACAGTATATGGCATTCAGTCTTCACATTCACTGGCTGTTACACTGAGATCTTCAGAGGAGTCTAAAATGTTTGTGGGAACGGTAACCTAAAGTCTAAAATTTTCAGAGGTGTGAAGAGAATAGGAAACCTGCCATAATTTTTATTTACCTCTAGCTTTAAGATATGATTCTACAGCATGATGAAATTTATATGGTTTAGAGAAAAAATGACTCTTGAATATCCAAGGGGAACAGTGACACAGATAATTCTCAGCAGTGACTAATCCTAAGATAATTTTAAAAGTAGCTGTAGAGTACATTAGATGGGTTTTAAAGAATGCATTAAAGATAAGCGTAAGAAAAAAAAGATAAGTATTTCTTCAAAAGTATGGTAGAATACCTGATATGTTCTGATCACACCCACTGCCAAATGGCCTCATGGCCTGAAACTTTGGTTTCTTTTGTTTAGCTCACAGGAAACCAAAGGATAAACTCTCTCGGGGACATTTATACTTCTTAGGGTAAAATCCACAGTTATAAAAGATAAAAGCTGTGTTAATTATGCAAGGAATTCAAAGCTTGGTAATTTGGTAAGACTGAAGGATTTATTGAAAAACAGTGGTTCACATATATAACTCTAGGCCACAAATGTATTTAATTAAATCTTCTAGTTGACAGGTCTGCTGTTCTAATTAAAGCTTGTTATTTGTAACAAGTTTTTCTTAAAGCATTGGGGTAGCTAAATGGCTGGTGATGCTGGTGTGCTTGACCTTCCCAGTTCCTACCAGCTACAGCTTGGGTTAAGTCTGATTAAAGCTTAAGGATAAACAGTTTATCGCCATTTCATTGCCCTGGCAGTACCACCTTTTAGAGTACTTAAATTTTGTATTGCTTCTTCTATTCTTCTTTTAAAAAATTGAGGAGTTAGGGGAAGGAAACATAAGCTACTGTATATGTGCCAGGGTACTTGTGATGCAGCAGCATTGTGTTAAGTATAAGGTCACACATGTTTTAGTATATTTAGCAGTATGTGTAATGGGCTCTCCGATTTATATGGGATCCCTAGTGCTCTGTCCACTATAGATTGCTTTGTCTCTAGTAGCCCATTTGATCCTCTCTGGGGATCTAGTAGTTAGGATTTGACAGTCTCTGGTAGCTCTTTTGGCCTTTCCCAACAGCCCACTATGGAATTTAAAATTCAGAACTTATTTTTTTAAATAACATTTTGATTCAAATGCTTTATTCCTGTCAAAATCCAGAGAAAGTAATATTTAAAAAGTTTCTAAATTCTGTGAATCTTTGTGAAATATTTGTATAAAGCCAAGTAAAATGCATGCCTGTAATCCCAGGTCTTTAGAAGGCTGAAACAGAAGGTGGCTTGAGTAAAGGCATTCAGGGCCAACCAGAGGACAATAGTGAGACCCTGTCTTTAAAAAAAAAAAAAAGTTGGACTGTTCTTGACTTAACTTTTGTTGTTTATTTGGCTTTAGGTTGGAGCTCATCGGGAAGATTCAGTCAGTCTCAATGGCAATCATTCTGTCCTGTCTAGTACTGTTGCTGCCTCAAGCACAGACCTGAACCATAAAACACAGGAAAATTACAGAGGTAACTGTCCTGTGGAACACTGTCACCTTTCTCACAGCTGGACTGGCATCTGAATTGAACCTCCACACAGTAGTGATGCTGTGTGGGTGTGAAGGATCGCTGGCTAGGATCCATTCTATCTCCTTGGCTGGGCCAAGAGTAGATAATTAGTGCTAGGTGGAGCTGCTAGCAATGCACTACTCAGTACTTCCTGGTGATCCTTCTATGTTCCTGCTCCTGTCCCGTCTCTTTCTTAGTTACTTCCTCTCATGAGTGAGCCTGTATAATCCTCAGTCACTGAGAAAAATACTTCTGATTCTGTTGAGAACTCTGAATTATAATAACTGTTGTTTTAGAGATTCAGATATAACTGGAGAGACATAAAATTTGCAGGGGGAAGACCGTGATCAATGTAACAATATAAATTTTAAGTAAAATTAAGTGTATATGTGGCAGGGTGGGGGTTGTATAACATTAATGTGAATGCAGGTGCCCTTAGAAGCCAGAGGAATTGGATCCCCAGGAGCTGGAGTTATAGGCAGTTGTGAGCTGCCTGATGTGGGTGCTAGAAACTGAACTCAGGTCCTCTGGAAGAGCTCTTAACTGCTCTTAACCACAGAGCCATCTCTCCAGCCCACAGTAGAGTTTTGTGAATAAATACAAATATGTAGGTAATGTTAAGACCACTAAAATAAAGTTTTCCCGGTTATATGTCATTGTGGCCATTTTATATATTACCAAGGCAGCATCTTAGAAATTATTTTCCAAAATGTGTCAGTTTTCCAAGCCCTTGTTCACTTATTAGAACCTGAAAATGAGCACTAGTCTGCTCGTTGGGGTGAAGCTTGTTCTTAAAAACACATAAAGTGCTTCATACCCTGTATATAGCCTGTCTATTCACCATCTGGAAAGCTTTGAGCCCCTGAATTGGAATGTGTGGGTTTAGTTATTTAGTTTACATTTCCTGTGCCTCTTTGTTAGGTGGCTTGCAAAGTCAGTCTGGAAATGTTGTTCCAACAGAAATCAAGACTGAAAACAAAGAGAAAGATGAAAATCTTCATGAACCTCCTTCATCAGATGACATGAAATCAGATGACGAATCCTCCCAAAAAGATATCAAGGTCTCATCTAGAGGCAGAACAAGGTGTGTGTTACCGTCCAGCTGTTAACACTCATACACTTGCTCTAGATGAAACAAATGGAACATCAAAAGGTGCCATGCGTGAACTGCCAACTATATTCTGGGTACTAGACTGATTTTTATGTAAATTTACACATTTAATCCTCATGTCATGCCAGAAGAGGAGAAATATACATGTCTGACTCCAAAATTATGTTTTCCACTATTTCACATCATTCTCTTGTCTTCATATAAAAAAGAACTACATCTCTTGCCTCAGATGCTTATAGTCTATAACACAAATAGAGGATAATAGCTAAGGTAGTTAAATTGTGTTTGTATATCAGCCAACACATTTGATGTATTAAAGAACTAAGTATATGGTAAAAGTCTAGAATAAATTCATCCAAGTATTAGTGAACTGTGGTTCATGGGCCAGTGCAACCTGTTGCTTAACTTTTATACAGTCTTATTAGAAACTCCCACATTCTTTGGTTTTCTGTGTGTGGCTATTTTTGTATTACATCGGCAGATTTAAGTCATTGTCACAGATACCATTTGGTCACAAAACAAAAAGTATTTACAATCTGACCCTTTGCAGAAAAGGTTTGCTATCCCTGATTTCAACAGTAACTTGAGAAAAACCTAAAAGAGAAACTATTCCAGATAGAGGGATGTTATCGGGAGGAGTTTTCTAGAAATCGAGCAAGACTTGTTTCCATGAATTTAGACACATAATACATTAGTTTCAAATAATTTGTGTATCTTCATTCAGATTTTTCTCTAGTTTTACATTAAAATTAGGGGGGTGTGTGTGTGCGTGTGTATGCGTGTGTGCGTGTGTGTGTGTGTTTGTGTGTGTGTGTGTGTGTGTGTGTGTATGTGTGTACATAGGTTATTTTGTCTTTCAGACAAGGTGTCACTTTGTACCCCAGGCTGATCTTGAACTCATGGTGATCCTCCTGGCTCAGTCTTCCAAATGCTGGGATTACAGGCATGAGTGACCATACCCAACATGATTTAGTATATTTGCAGTGCATCCCCTTTTTTAATATTATTTATCAACAGTATATCTGTCAGATACAGGTATTTATATTTAAAACACCTTTTATGTTAAACTATGAAGCACAGGGATTGCAGTGATAGAACTAAAAGGAACATGGTCCTTCCTCCCATCCACATATTAAGGTGTTCCTTTGCCTTTTCCATTTTCAGTATTTCCAAAGCATAAATGATTCTCTTGTGAAAAGTAAATTTTTGTAATGCTATGATTTTAAGAGGCATCTTGCTCATGTAAAGAATATAAATGAGAAAGCAAACTTTGTCAGGGAATCCTGAGACCACTTCTTTTAGGCATCTTAACTCATACTTTTATATTCTGGAAAGAAATTTAAGAAATAATTCACATCCTTTTTTCTCAGGCATTTTCTCCCTCCCCACCCCCACCCCCATCTCCATAAGGAATCAACAACTTTCTCTGTAAAGGACCAGATAATAGTTTAGGTTTTGTTTTGTTTTGTTATTTTATGTGTATGAGTGTATTACCTGCATGTATGTGAGTGCATCCGTGTTGTGCAATGCCACAGAGGTCAGAAGAGGGCTTCAGATTCCCCTGGAACTGGGGCTAAGGACGATTCGTAGCTGCCATGTGGGTGCTGGGAATTGAACCTGGGTCCTTTGCAAGAGCAGTCAGTGTTCTTAACTGCTGAGCCATCCCTCCAGCCCCCGATAGTTTAGGTTTTATGGGCCATATTGTCTAACATAACTACTCAGTTCTGCTATGTAGCACCAAATAGCCAGAGATAATATATAAACAAATGAGCTTGGTCATCCAATAAAAGTTTAGCTATAAAAGCAGATGTCCAGCTCATGGTGGTAAGTTCATTGACTCATAAGGTATCAGAAATTAAAAAAACAGCATAATACATTAATAAGATAATGCTAGTAGATTGCCGATATGATTTTTTAGCAGCGTGCTCCTAGCCTGAGTTTGAGTCATGGGTCTATTAAATACTAGCCAAGTAACCTTGCACAGGTTATCAAAACTCATTGAGATCAGTTCCTCCTCCTTTAAAAAAAAGATTTTCTGTTAGAATGTTGTTTGTGGGACTAGTTTAAACATGTAAAACCTTCTCCGCTCTGACATTCAGTCAGCACTCAGCAAAATATTGTTGTCATGGTAGTTTTATGTATTATACATTTGCTTCCAAGAAGCACTGGCCTGGTTTTTGTAGTTAGGCCACCACTAATTAGCTATATGACTGTGGGGAGGCCACTGATACTGGATTTTGCAGTGGTTCTCAAACCAGCTATATGTACGTCTGGAACATCTTAGGAATACAGTTCCTAGGTCCCAGCATCTCAGGCAGAAGGACCTGGGAAGCTATATTTTCAACACTCCTTAGAGGTTCTGATACATGTCCACATTGAATACTGTTGGGCTTGATGATCTTTAATGACCCCCTGGAAGGTAAAAGTCCAGTTACTCATCAGAAGAGCATGTTCGTGTAATTCTTGATTAATAAGAAGCATTGTGTACTTAATTCGACATTATGATACAAACTGAAAACATGTTTCTGATTTTTTAGTATGTGTGCATGCATGTGTGTATGCATATATGTTTAGATGTACCTATTTCAAGATCAGAAGACAGCTTTGGGGGTTTTCTTCCACCATGTGGGTTCTGGGGACCAAACTCAGGTTGTCAGGCTTGACTATAAATACTCTTACCTGCTAAACCATCTCCATCCCCCTCAAATGTTTTTTCTGTTGTTGTTATTTTGTTTCTTTTTTGAGGCAGGGTCTCACTATGTAGCATAGACTGGCCTTGAAGCCACAGGAATCTGCCTGCCTCAGTGTCCCACATACTGGAATTAAAGGCATGTGCCACCATGTCTGGCCCCCCTCACATGTTTTATTTTATGCTTTACAATGTTTTATTTCAGAAACTTAGATAATATAGAAAATAACACAAAAAATCGTAAACTCTACTAGCCAGAATTAACATGTTCTTTTTCCATGAGCACATTTCAAATTGAAATTAATATAAATTTTATGATTTTAATTTTTTTCATTCAACAATGTATTTTTAATATTGTTTTAGCATTTCACCTTTCCTGAGTATTTTTTTGCAACATAGTTTTTTGGGTTTTGTGAGGGTTTTTGCTTAGCTTTGCTTTTGCTTGGAGACAGCTTTATTGAGATTTGATTTATACATAATAAAATTCACCAATTTTAGATCTAGATGTTTTGTCCTTTGACAAGCATAAACGGTACAACCACCTTTTTTTTTTTGTCTTTTTGAGACAGGGTCTCCCTGTAGCCCCAGCTGTGCTGGAACTCACTATGTAGACCAGGCTGGCCTTGAAGTCACAGAGATCCGCCTGCCTCTGCCTCCCAAGTGCTAGGATTAAAGGTGTGTGCCACCACACCCAGATCACAACTACCATTATTTTGATAATGTAGGACATCACCACCCCACAAAATTTCCTCATCTGCTTTGTAGTGAGTTAGTAACTCTTCCCCACCTCTCAATAGGGGATGATTTATTAACATAATTTTGTCTTTTCTTGAAGTCCATGTAAATGGAATCATGCAGGATGTAGCCTTTTGTGGCTAGTTTCCTCTTTTACTTAGTGAAATGTATAGCTTGATTTTTGGAGGCTGCATAGTAATCCATTGTCTCAATGTACTGTGGCATAGTTAACCCATCCCATTATTAGGTTCTAATACATTGCTAATGTAAAGAATTCTGTGACCAACTTCCTCTATGTAACTTTTTATTTACATTTCTCATTATATGGAATTGCTGATCAAGAGGTAACTAATATTTTAAGGTCTTGGATTTACCTTGTTAATTTGTCCTTCAAAAAATTATTCTGCATAGGCTGGAGATAAAGCTCAGCATGTAAGAGCACTTTCTGTTCTTTCAGAGGACCTGAGTTCAGTTCTCAGCTTACAACCATCTGTAACTTCAGCTTCAGGGGATCTGATGTCCTCTTTCTGGCCTCCATGGGCACTGCACTTGTATGCACGCGCGCACACACCCACACAAAAGCATGAATAAAAAAATAAATGTAAACGAGGCATGGTGTCACATGCCTTTAATCCCAACACTTGAGAAGCAGAGGCAGGCACCTGTATGAGTTTGAGGCCAGTCTGGTGTATGTAGTGAGTTCCAGGCCAGCCAAGGCTACACAGATCCTGACTTCAAAAAAAAAAATGAATGAATGAAGAAAAGTGAATTTTTTTTAATGTGTATGACTGTTTATCTTACATGTATATAAGTGCACCCATGTGTGCAATGCCCAAAGAGGCCAGAAAAGGGCATTTGATCTCCTGGAGCTGGAGGTGTGGATCATTATTAACTACCATGTGGGTGCTAAGAACCAAACTCTGGTCCTCTGGAAGAGCAGTAAGTGCTCTATTGAACCATGTCTTCAGCCTGAACAGTTAATCGTTTTAAAAAATGATTTAAACACATCTTTTCAAATCTCCAGATTTCATAGTCATCATCACTGATATTTCTCTTTAGGGAAAAGCAACTCTTCTGAGACCATCTGTGGCTTAAGCTTTTCTTCCTTTCTCACCAAGGGACTGTCAGAACATACTTAACAAATGATATGTTCATGTACCAGGTCAGGGCTTTCAGACTTCATTGTGTGTGTGAATCAACTGGGTGTCCTGTTTAAATGCGACTTCTGGACCAGTAGGTTTGGCATAGACCTTGGGAGTCTGTGTTCTTAATAGGCTCCTGATAATGCCAGGGCTGCCAATCTTTGGACTAATGTGTGTAATAGGTGGTATAATTTAGTTGATGTTTCCTGTTTACAAATAATTTGCTTGTATAGAGAACGCTCATGCTAAAATGTGCAATGGAAAGGCATTTAAAACATGATACAATTTAAAAGATTATACATGTGCATTGAAAAAGACTGGAAGGAATGTACACTCATGATAAGTGCAGCTCTTACTACTGTTTAGTAAGGGTAATAATTTCCATTTCCACCTTTATAGCTTATAATTTGCATATTCAGCATATCTAGAAGCTCATAGACACTACTGGTACTGTTTTTCAGCAGTACTAATGAAGATGAGGATCTGAACCCAGAACAGAAAATCGAAAGGGAGAAGGAAAGGCGCATGGCTAACAATGCCAGGGAACGCCTGCGCGTGCGCGATATTAACGAAGCATTCAAGGAGCTTGGCCGAATGTGTCAGCTTCATTTGAAGAGCGAAAAACCCCAGACAAAACTCCTCATTCTTCATCAGGCCGTGGCAGTCATCCTTAGTCTAGAACAGCAAGTCAGAGGTAAGTCAGTCTGGCAGAGACAGACTACTGTTCCACCCACAGATGAGCAAACCTTTGTTTACAGTTCCTCCTTTGATTATATAAGTTGCTTGAAAGCTCTCCCAATACCTCTGCCTCTGTACCATCAGGATCCAGTTCTCCCTGTAGTTCTCTGGCTCTCGATATCTGTAGGATAAGTACTTCCCACAAACCAGTAGAAGTTCTGTGAAACAAGGCAGAAAACCAACAGCCTTAGCCTGCTCCTCAGTCTTGCTGCTTGGCACCTTTTTGCTCCTATGGACTCTGCTGTTTATCTTTCACTGTTGAATTGGCTAGACCTGCCTTTCTCACCATTCTTCTCTGCCTTCCCTCCTTCTCAGTACTCAGTTTCCTGCTTGCTGTGCTCTGGAGTATCTACCAGCCCTGCTTCTTAGTTGGATATCTACACATTGCTTCTAGCTTTTCGTTGATCCCTATTAGGAATATCATGCATCTTAGACATGCCTGTTTGTCACAGGTGTGATTTGAAAAGGCTCACACTTGACTGAGGCACCTACCTTGTTTCATTCTTCCTGAAGTCTCATGGGATCTTGAAGAGTCTCTAAAGCTTTGTTTGATGTGTGTTTAGTGCGAACCAGCTACATTGTAGACTCAGGAAACTTCCGCCCTTGCAGTTCCACCATCAAGCTTGTGTTTGTCAGTCATCTATATATTTTGTCATGGTCCAAAGCCTTTTTGCAAGGAATATAAATAAACATGGCTCTGGGTTCCAGGCCCTATTCTAGGCTCACTTCACTGAAATCAGTTCTTTCTTATTTATATTAGATTATTTAGATACTGATACTAGATTCTGTTTGAAGAAGGTTCAAAAGGAAGTAGGAATGGGCAGGTAGGTGCTTGAAAATTATATCCATGGACCCTCAGTATCAATACAGAAAGAACTTTGACTCTTGAGAAATCACTGGAACAAACTTTCAAAAAAACTGATAGTAGCAGTTCCTTCTTCATCCATATCCCTCTAGTATATGTACACAGGTGATTCTGTGCACAGTCACTCTGCTTCTAAAACTAGATACATACTCATTTTGTTCAGAACCCTGGAAGTGTCTATAGAGGGTAATTGTTTATGAAACCTGATCTTCAAGAATTACAGCCTCCTCCAAAGTACACAAAGGCTGGTTATTGCCCATACATCTTTAACAGGAGCAGTGGTTCCTTGAGCCAGCCATTGTTTTCTGTAACTTTACCAAATACTTTTTTTCTTAAACCATGTCTGGACATTCTTGGTTCCCTCTGAAGGCAGCAGGACACTGGCTGATATGCAGGAGTCCTAAGTGCACTCCGCCTTCTCTCCTCTGACTGTACTGCTTTGTGCCCTGACTTCTCCATCCAGGATGTGAAAGTCTGACTGGTCAGCCAGGGTGCAAGAACTATTTCAGTGGAGCTACCTTCTCATTCCAGAGTGCACTGGCACTAAAAGACGCGTTGTTTGTATTTTTAAAACCTTTTAAGAGCAGAAATCACTAGCAGATCCAAGCCGTTAAAATGAGAAATACTTCTGTGTTTGAAAAAGTTTTTGAAACTCTGCCTTTTGCAGGTAGACCTTATTCATTTGTAGCATTTGACTTTGCAGTGGTCCCCTACAGACTCCTAGAACAGAAAAACTAGTAAGAGAAGACCTAACATCCAAACTTGTCCAGCGGTCTACTGAGTTTCTGGTTATAAGTGTATATACTGACTTTCTCAGATGCTTCTGAGCTGTAAGGAGTCTTTCACTGATTGGAGTTGAATGCATTTCAGATACACTGTATTAGGGACTGTTTTGAGCCCAGAAAGACCTTTTCTCCCACTTTCAGACTGTGGGCCTAAAGTCCAGAGCCTTTATCTTACAGCCCTGTGTCCATCAAGACTTCACCTTGAAAGGCACACTGATGCCCTCTGCCAAACAGTTTAGGGCCCTTGTGTAGCCCATTGTGCCTGTACCTTGTCTCAACAGCATCTTCTAAGCTCAGTATAGCTACTGTCCTTTCTTGAACAGTTATGAATGATTTGATACTTTGTTCACTTGGAGAGGCTCTGCATACCTGCAGACCTGAACCAACAGTTTCTGTAGAGACATTTTGTTTACCTGGCCTACTGGGCATCATCTGGCCTTCCTGGCTCCTCTTCTAGTTGCAGTGGTGCTCCAAACTATATCTGACCAGCCCCAACCTGGAGATCTACCGAGTTCTAGTTTCCTAGTCTTCAAGTGGGTGTGAAGAATAATGGGCAAACAATAGTGGCTCTCAAATCTGGCTGGTACCAGAATCACCTAAGGTCTTCTTTCAGACAGGTTTCCAGACCTCACCCCTAGAATACTGACTTGCAATGAGATGATCAAGCATGGCAGATATGTGTGCACTGATAAGAGTCCACTCTTTCTGAGTGGCTACTGAAAGTAACTACAGTGGCATTGACATAACAGATGAGAGAGAAGACAGCTGTAGGTGGAAAACCTCATGTTTTTCCAAGTCCACAATGCTTGTCTCAAGGTTAAGATCTAAAGTTTTACAAAGAATGGTTTAAAAATGACCTGGTGATAGGGCCAGTAAGATGGTGAACAGGTTAGGGCACCTGCTACCAAGCCCAACAAACTGAGTTTGGTCCCTGGGACCCACATGGTTGAGGGAGAAAACCAATTCCTACAACCTATCCTCTGACCTCCACACGTGCTATGGCAAACACAAACACAATGAATGTTAATTTTAAAAGACCTGAAGATTAAAGTGCATCATTGTGATACTTCAACATATCAGGTTAAGAAGAACCTAAAGCTTCTAGAAACAAATTTAGTGTTGGACATTGCTAGATTCTTTGAGAGAATAGAATGGTGCCTTCAAAAATCTGCTCCCATATATACTTTTCAGCGAGCATTTGGAGCTTAAGATTTGCCAAATAAGGACATTAGCAGGAAAGACAGAGGTATGAGACTCAGGAAACGGCTCTCACATAGGCTGATGAACAAAGCCCCACATGAGCTGCTGACCTAGAGGATGTTTATCTGTGGGCGAAAGGTTTCCAGGGACAGACAGTGTGATGCATTTGAGATATTGGGAAAACCTACTGATAGGCATTTGTGTAGAGGCATTAGAGTATTAGGTAAAGGGTTAAGATTTAATTATTTTAAAAGGGAGGGGAAAAAGTCAACTGTTAACTGCAAGAACAAACAGCTATGTAAGAAAACAATCACTAAAATTCTTAACTCAGCAAGTATCACCAGAGTCATAATAATGTAAGTGACTATTGAGTTAGTAAAAAAAAATCTGTCCTAAGCATGTTGTAAAGATGGTATTATAGTAACAGCCAATCCCTCAACTACATACCAGAAGTCAGTAGATAAAAACCTTTCAGTGGAAATGTGGGACCTGAGATTACACCTGGCTTCCATTCACATCTGTGTCCAACTTTGCTGGCTAGATGATGTACTTGCCATAGGTAGCTCACCCATACCACTTTGCCTATTTTGAATTAAAGCCATATCTAATTTAAATAGAGTCTCCTATAATAGTCTGATTCTTCCAGTCCTGATTATTCTTTGTGTGATTCTCAGAACCCACAAGCTCTTGCCTAATTTTGGTTTGGGGCTCTGCTGCTTTTCTGCTATTGTAACCATGCCCCCTAGATCCAAGTATGAAAATGGCCATAGTTAGATCAGAGCAGTGTTCCACTGTAAGAGAAGTATGAGGCTGTTTGACTTGAAAACTTCCAGATCTAGCTTTGTCTTCTCAGATTTGAAAATCTCCCTTCTCAATCTCTGTGATCACTACATGAGAGCAACCTTTTAGTAAGGCCATGTTACCTAACAAAAGATAAGCTCTAAGGCAGAAGCACAGTTTCCTTTAAGAAAGCAGCTGGGCGAGGGGGAAGGTGTAGCTGGGTGGTAGAGCAGTGTACTGAATGTGCACATGACCCAGAGTTTATCCCTGTACCACAGAAAGGAAGAAGGAAGGAAGCAGTTGTTGGTACTTTATATTTATGTTGAGCATACATTTTCATTTACTAGATTACCTTAATTAAACTAAGGAAGAATGTACCTTTCTTCTTTCATTAATTCTTACAGTTGTGTAGGCCTTATGCCTTTTTCTGAGTATGGTCTTAGAAAGGTAGAATGCTAAAATGAAATTGTATTGTTACGCACCAGTAATAGTTAATAGTCTACTGAGTTTGACATAATAAAGCCCTTTATTTTTTAAAAACCCAGATGTGAACTGTGAACGTGTTAAAATGCACACATTCAAATATATTTGCCTTCCTTAGAAGGGGAGATGTTCAGAAAGACAGCTATGCTTTGAGCATTTTGATAAAAATCTGATGTTAAAAATATAATTTCTG